GTGAGGTCTGGGGTCAGCCTCTGCTTGCTGTGGGTGGTCAGGAGGTGGTCATTGGCCCTGGCGCGGCACCGACAGGCTGGGTGGACACGCTTCATGTGCTAGGAGCAGCTGCGGGGATTATCCAATTTGAGCGCGCTACTGTGCCCGTCTCAGCGCAGGCCACACCTGGTTCATCAATGCTCGAAAGGACCAGGCCAGGTGTCAGCGTTCTGGCCTGACTGAGGCAGGACTCAGACTAGCTTTGAATGTGCTGCAGAGGTGCGTCCTGGCACCATCTACCGCATCATGCTGAGATATGATGACGATCAGCGAAGGAAGAGGCATGGAGCTGGGGTGTTCCTATGCTCTATTTCTGCATGGTCTTTCCGGCCTGGTGCGGCTGTGTGCGTGCACTTGAAAACAAGCGGCCTTTGTTTGCATACCTCACTGCGAGGATTGTGTTATCTGCAGCAGTTGGCCGAAGCGCAAGTCCTCTGGCTTTGCGGATGCCTTTCGGCGCATCATGATCAGTTAGACATTGTAGCATTTAGCCCTATACCTTTGCAGACCCACACGCTCCTCAATGAATGCACATAGCTTGTAAGCGCCGCATCCGCACACTGCGCCATGGCGACCTCGGAGGCCAAGCGTCCTAGGCAAGGTGCAGCAGAATCGGAGAGTCCAATCGAACGTCAGATGCGGCAGGCCCTTGGAGTTAGGAGTGGGCCCTTTGGACCTTCAAGGATGTAGGATCTGCCTTCAGAAGGTGAAGTTTGGATCAGCGTCCCGGCTTGCGGGAACTTGGAGTCGCTTGTAGGTGATCCGCTTCCTGGCTGACGACTCCCTGAAGGGCCGCCAGCCAGGCACAGCTGGGGAAGAGGCCGCAGCTGCCTTCGTGGCCAGTAAGATGGAGGAGCTGGGCTGTGAGCCGGCTGGCGAGCAGGGCACTTACTTCCAGACAGTTCCTTGATTGCTTTTGGCATTGAGTTCTTCCTTCTTGCAGAGTGGATAATGCTCTGCCTGTGAATTTCTGGAGGTGCAGATGGTCGGTTTGACGGCTGTACGGAGCTCCTCGATGATTGGCTTTGAGGTGCCCTCCCAAAATGCGCAACGCGCTGTGATCCAGCTGTTGTTATGCGCCCTGGCGCCCTGTTCTAGAGCTTTCAATTGCAGGTGGGGGGCTTCCAGCTGACCGGCCACTTTGGAGATGACTACGTCCACTCCATGGACCATTTGGCTGAGGGCGAGCCAGAGTGTGCTTTTGAGGGCTTGGATTTGGTCTTTGTTGGTCATGGGGTGACAGCTCCCGGCTTGGAGTGGGACGACTTCAAAGGCCAGGACGTAGCATCCAAAGTGTTGCTGGTCTTGATCAGCCAGCCTCCTGTGGAGCCATTTCCCCAAGATGACCTCATGTACTATGGTCGATGGACATACAAGTTCGAGGAGGCACGGCGACGTGGTGCGGCAGGCTGCCTTATTATCCACTTCAGCGATGAGTTTGCTGGTTATCCCTGGAGCGTCACGCGTACTGGCTACAGTGGCGAGAAGGTTGCTCTGGACAAGCCGCAGCCGAACCCTCTGGCTCTTCATGGCTGGCTGGAAAGTAAACTTGCCTGCAAGCTGGCCGAAGCTGCTGGGACCACTCTAGATGTCTGGGTGCAGCAAGCCCGGCAGCGGGATTTCCGGCCTGTAACCGTCGGTCGGATATCACACTCCGCTCAGTACGAGATGCGTCGATTTTCAGGCCGGAATGTCCTCGGTGCCCTCCTCGGCCATGAGGACGCAAGAAGGCACGAGGCTGTGGTCATTGCTGGACACCACGACCATTTGGGTGAACGCGACGGCGAGATCTACAACGGGGCTGTGGACAACTGCACTGGAGTTGCGATGATGCTTGCAACCGCGAGAAGGCTGGTTGAGTCCGGCATTCAACTGAAGAGGTCAGTGCTTCTGATGGCCCCCACAGCCGAGGAGTGTGGCCTCTTGGGCTCAGACTTCTACGCAGAAGCTCCACTGCAGCTCGGGGGCCGCCAAGCCAAACCGCTCGCTGCCTTTGCGTTTGATGTGGGGAACGTGTGGGGTAAGACCCGTGACATCTCTGTCCTGGGCTTGGGTAAGAGCACTCTGGACTCCTTGTTGTACGAAGTGGCTTCTGCACAGGACCTGTCGCTTGTCCCAGACCTCCAGCCGAAGATGGGCCTCTTCTACCGGAGTGACCATTGGAGTTTTGTGAGACGTGGGGTTCCTGGCTGTTGGTTCTTCTTCGGCCGCGAGTTTATTGGGAAGCCCGTCAAATATTATGAGGACGTGGTCGGCAGGTACATCCAGTCTGAGTATCACAAGCCAGCCGACGTCTACCACCCCGACTGGACGATGGCAGGTCTTTTATCCCAGGTAGACTTCACCGTGGCTGTTGCGCAGGCACTGTGCACCCGCACGGACGTGTACCCTTCCATGAAACCTGAGACGGCATCCCCATCCTTGAGTATCCCAGAGGTCCCTGCTGGCTTCGCCCGGAGGAGGCGGCCTGGCAAGCCCAGCGTCAGCTTCGGGCTACGCTGTTTTGACTGCAAGATCGAAGGCTGCGTTTGCTTCCTTTGACTTGGACGAAGGCTCACCAATTCCCTTTCTGGTGCTGACATTTGAAGCTGATGTCGTCAAAAACGCGCGTCAGGCTCCTAAGCTATGAGCACCGCGAATAGCATTGCTTCGCTGCAGTCGTTGCTTGCAATCTGCAGTAGGTTCAGTAGATGAACAGGTCGCGACAAGGGGAAGGTGGCTTTAAGCCACCCCTACTTCAAAGCCTGCTTTGCACACGGGGCAGGGGGCGGGGGGTGGAGAGCCTTGGAGTCACTTCTTGCATCGTTCCTTCAGGTCAAACCTGAAGACTTGTGCTTTGCAACGTTTGGTCGTTTGAAATGGGCAGCTTAACGACTAAAGGCATCATCAACGGTACGAGGCTGCTAAATTCGCATGCCACGTGTTTTTTCCAATAATGTTTGCAATCCCAAAGCCCACGACAACCCACATAACTTTCATCTGCAAAGTGTCTGACATAGACGGAGACTCGGCCATCGCGCAGTTCCAGCAAATCTGGTTGAAAAGTACTCACCACTGGCATCTGACCGCACACTTGCGTACCGAGAGATCGAATCAAAAATAATGGTTCCAACGACATTCGGCACCATCCATAGACGTGCGCCAACCAATCGCGATGCCATGCAATCAGTGTTGTCCAATCAGTGTTGTCAAATCCAATCTATTGTCAGCATTTGTAGCTTGGGCACGCATGTCCCGCGCAGGGTGTCCTGGGAGCCAGTCGAGTCCTCCGATTTGCCCATCAAGGCAGTCTTGCAAAGGTTAGTGCTCTCCGCTCACAGTGTCGTGAATGCATCCTTTTTTCCCAAGTCCCTCCGAGGAATCACCAGCCAGTGCAACATTTACCATAGCTATAGGGAAGTTTAGTTTCTGCTGAGTCATGCCAAGTGTACTGCCCCTGGAAGGTTGTTCGTCACAGCTATTACATCGCAGCCTCGTGGACGGCCTACCGGCGCGGATCCTAGTGTTGAGAATGGGCTGCCGCGGCAAGCATATACAAAGCCATTTACTGTGAGTGGTGATGTTCGGCTCATTTGAGGATCTTTTGTTGACTGGCGCTATCAGGGGGAAGCTTCCTAAGATGATTAAGGGTCAGGCTCCTGATGTAAAGGGCACCTGAGAGGTGCCAGGTAAGCCTTCCGCTTGCCAGGACCATCTAAAAGTTGTGATGCTGTTGGCAGAGGTACCAGGTGTGGAGTCCAGCTTGGTCGTAAGGTTCACGATGCCAGCTAAACCCTATGACCATCTGGACCTCTCATGACTCCATTCCCTTGGAAACTCGCTAGCCAAAAGCTGCCTTAACACCAGCCGGAAGGCCCTTCGAGATGATTGCCATCCGCCGGGGTGAGCTTTATGAGACTACGGTGAGGACTGCCGAGCTGGTTGGTGCACGGTTGGGTCCTGGGCTTCAGTGTGGAGCATGTCGTGCATGTGAATCTTGAGCATTCGACCTCTTAACTTTGCTGCCGATTTGCCCAAAACCCGTAGAGTGCACCTGAGCCCTTTACTTGCGTTTTGCATGCAGTTGCTGGAAAAGTGCGCGCGCTGCAGAGCATTCGCCTAGACAGATTCTTCTTGCACAGTTTGCTGTCAGTTGGCAGCGGAGCCTTGTGCTCTCAGATGGCTGGACCGGCGACCTTGGACGAGTTCCTGAGGAGTGGCCTTGAGAGATCCCAAGATGAGCGTGGACAGCCTTCTCGTCTGTTGAGGCCGCCTGGTCTAGAACCACGAGCTGACGATCCAGGCGATGCTCCAGAGGATCTGAGAGACCCTTTGGAGAGTGAGCACCGGCAGGACGCACCCTCGCGATGGCAGTGTCTGCGTTGCGACGGCCTTTCCTTCCACTGGAGTGATGGCTGGAGATGCAATGGATGCGGAAGCTACGACTTCTTCAACGCTGCAGCTCCCACCACCAGACAGGGCGGATATGGCACATGGGTGTATGTCCCCCGGGGCGAGCCCAATGATCCTGAGGCGACGTCATCTTCGAGCTCCTTGCCCGGAATGCCGTCGACCTGGAATACCTCTCCACCGCTACCGTGGGCACCAGCCAGGAGACTACGAGTGCCTCGTCCAAGTCCTGACTTAGAGGCCCACGAGACAGCGGAGAGTGCGTCGTTGACAAGCGACGCCACCGTGGACCCGGACACCTTGCTCTGCCCAAGCTGTCAAGGAGGCAGCGACGAGCAGCGGCAGCGGCGGCAGCGGCAGCGGCGGCTGGCAGCGATGGCGGCGCTGGACAAGGGCAACGTTCTCCGCAAGTACCCCGTTCGGATCGACGCGACGGCGCAGGAGATCCCCCACTTGAAGTTCAGGCGGCCTCTTCGAAGACAAAGGCGAAGGCGGAGAGCGCCAAGACGAGCGACACGTGGGATAGCCGCAAAGGCCCTTCTCCTGGAGTCAAGTACAGAGGCGGAGCTCCTCCACGACCACCCGTCTGGCACTACAGTCGTGAGGATATCCGTGCCTTTGACCGATGGGAACGCCGAGTAGAAGCTTGGAAGATGCAGATATCCGCCTATATGTCTCGGGCAGAAGCGGCTATGATGCTGTTTACCAGCTTGAAAGGCGAGGCAGAGGAGGAGCTCGAGAACTATGACCTCACGAAGATAAACTGCGCCGAGGGGATAGAGAATATCCTGACAGAGCTTCGCGGGGCACTCCAGACGAGGGCCGTCTACCAGAAGCGCAAATTCTTACATGAATTTGAGCAAATTGGCAGGTACAGCAAC